TGGGTCTTAGAGATGCACACTACAGAAAGAAAAGATTTAAAAAAAAAGAGAAAAAAATATTAAATTACTTCTAAATGACATCTGTTGTTACATTGATCGAATCGTGAACGAAGCAGAATTATGAAAGAAAAAAGTAAGTTGCGAAAGCAGAAAACGATAAATAGAGGAAGAAAGAAATATGTCTAATCAGGTTTATATGTATATACACACGCCGCGCGATACAAAAGAAATGGTGTGTATATATGTATATATACATGCATATGAAAGAAATCTCACGCAAGTGTCTTATTTTTCCAGGATGTTTACCAATTATTAAACGGGAGAGTAAAAAAAAACATGAATAAAAGAAAAAAGACGACGGAGGAAGTTGGAAGAAATTGCCACGAGGTAGACAAAAGAGAGAAAAGGGAAAAAAATATGTAATCAAACGGAAACGCGAGCTCCTCGTTAATTCCGTTTGCGACGGAAATCCGCGCTGAAACGTGTCGATCTTTATCCTTTTCACACGGAGAGAGCGTCCCCTAGCGTTAGCTTCTTTTACGATACGATTCCATCGCGTGGTCCTCTTCTTTACCATCCAAAATTGCTTGTCGTCGACGACGACGACGTTCCATTATTCCTCCCGCTTCTCCCCGGTGTTCTTTTTTATTTTTCTTGTCCCCCCTTATTATTATAATATTTTTGTTTCCTGTTTCTTTCTAAGTGCGGAATTGCCGAAACCTCAGGAAGTTCGGCATAGATCGTGTTGTCGATGGAATTGCTGATCCCTTCCGTTAGATAAGTAGACGACGAATTTGTTATTTTTCTTTTATATTTTTTCTTTTTTTTTGTTTTTCTTCTGCTAAGTTCGAACAATCTTATGAGCGTCGTAGTAATTAATTTTGATTAACGAGTGGAGTTAACTTTGTCTCTTAAGGATTTATACATATTCGTTTTAGAGCGCTAGAATTTGGGATTCGACTATGAGTTGCGGGAAAATGCCGGAAAATGCCGGAAAATGCCGGAAAACGCCGGAAGTGTACGGTCGACGAATGACGAAAAAGGAGAAAAACTTTGTAAATCGAGAGGGAAACGAGGAAAAGAAGGAAATCTTGTATTGCAATTACACCGATGATATTTTTCTCGCGGGTGACACGATGCGATTTTTTAATTACACTGTGATGCAACTGGCTTGGTTAATGAAAAATCTCTGTCGCACTTTCTTCCAATTCGAGCAGTTACAAAGTTGCGTAAAGAATAAAAGGAAAAAAAACGAACGACAAAAAAACCTGTAAAACACATTCGTGAGGTACTCTGAATATGTACACGTGCATACATAAACACGTATACTCGTTTGTTGTGTCGCGCGTCGCCGTTCACACACGGATATACGTGTACGTGCACACGCGCACACGTGCGCGCGCACGTTCCCCTCCCTTCCTCAAAAGAAAAGGCCTTCCTCTTTTTGTTTTTTTCTCTTTTCCCTCTTCTATTTTCTATTTTCTCTCTCCTCTGTTCTCTCCTACGATCTCTCTTTTCTTTTCTATTTTCTAATTTTTTCTTTGTTTCCTTTGTATTTCTTGATCTGTTCCCTACCTCTTTTATTGACCCGCGCGCGTGTGTGCGCATACGTACATGTGTATGTATGCCCGCGCGTGTGTGTATGTGTGTGCTTACGCCTGCGTGAGCGGATGAGAGTGTATGAATGGTTCGACGGTGTGCGTGCGGCTCCGCGTGTTTTTCTCTTTGTGCGTGCGTGCGCTCGTAGGCACGCTTGTACGCGTGTGTGCGTAGTGAATTACGTCATATAGATAGATCATATGTGCTTTCTAATGATGAATAATTTTATAAATATAAATATAATATCGATCTCACGTGTACTTTTATTTCATCGTTGAATGCATGTTACAACTTATAAACAGGGATGGGGAAAAATTTAAATACAACAACAATTTGAATACTGATGCAGAACAATGTACCCACATACGTTTGATCGTATGAAATTTTACTTACATTTATATTAAAGAAATGGAAATTAAAATATACGAATGCATAAATATTTATAATTTTATTTTTCAAAATAGTTTTGTATTTTTTTAAATTTCGCTATAAAAATAGGTCGTAATTGCTGGTTGTTTAAATTTTTTTCTTCGTAAACATTATGTTTATAATCACTCAAAGAGTGTATATATCTTTTTGGGTCACCTTGGTTTATTCGATTGAAAAATTATTCGTGCAGGATATATCCGAAATTATGGTACAACCTACGAGGTGGTGACTTTTCATGTCGTTTAAATGAAAAGTCTACAATTAAATTTTTTTTATACCTACTTTTGTCTTCACGGATAATAAATCTTCGCTAATAAATTTAAATCGCATCGAGAATTTGTATTTCGAACAACTTTTTGCATGAATATATTTATGAATAAATGTTATTTTTAGAATATATGTACACAGTACTGTGTTCCTATAAAATGGAGATTGCGTAAAATGTTTAGCAACTTAAAAAAAGGACTGTTCTTACTTAAATTTTAATAAATAGAGGTAAACAAACACGTAATGATATTCAAAGAATGGCAGAGTTTTAGTTAAATCAAAACTTTTTTCGAAAGTTCCTCTATCTTCTTTAATACAGGCGTTGAGGCGTTGTAAAAATTGATTATGACGACATGCAGTCTACTTAGATCAACTTCCTTCTCTGCTTTCAGTAAATCATGTTTTAGTGATTTCACGGACTTGTGAAGTTCAGAACAAATCTTTGTTTCGAGACTCTCCAAAGACATAGTCTACAAGATTCAGGTCTGGTAAATACAGAAGCCAAAATCATTTTTGATTCATCATTTCATTACAAAAATCTTGGGTGCTTTTTGCTCGACCCTTCGTTCATATAAGTTTTCTTACACTTACGGGAAAACGGTGCATTTAACCCTAATCGTACCACGTGCTTTTCTACGAATCATACCACGATGTGACTCGCAGTCACTTGTGAGAATAAAAGGAATGATTACATTGTTATTGTTTTTGTTTACAAGGTCCAAATTTTAAAAGTCCAAAGAAACTTTTGGAAATGCAATATGAAATAAAATACCATTAACCCAATCATTAGTGTTGATTTATATTCCATTTTTTACAATATCCAGATCAGCTTTGCACAAATAGGATATTCTAGCTCAAATTATTACCTCTTTTGGTATCTGAATGCGCAAAATAATACGGCCTCTTTCATTCCCTTCCTTCAATCTAGAAAAAAACACTATGACATTTTGTATGTTGTGAAATTATTCGACAATTAAAAGTTTTTCACAAAAAAGGACCAGCCTTTCATGCGATTGAACGCCGCGCCTTTACGACAGTTGTCAGCAACACTTGACGCGTATTTCATATTTTTTATTATTCAAATGCGGAGCTCTTCCCAATTTTAAAGCCTAGAGTTTTAGCTTTTTTTTAACTATAATGTATTATGAACACTACCTTCGCTAATGTCGATTTCACAAATCATTTTTGCATTAATCGACGAAAATTTCGTGAAACTTGTTCGCGGATGATGTTCAGCGACTGCCAAGTCTATCTTTGGCATTTCTGAACTCGAAATGGATTTGAAACGTTTAATTGTTTCGAGAACGAATTTTTCTGCTTGCCGCTTATTTTGTAAACGCGAAGAAATTGTAGACGCACGTTTTTCATATTCATTAAACAATTTGAAAGAGAAACATGTTTCGTACCTTCAGAAACCTCACTACATAAATAACTGAATAAGAGTTCGAATACATATGAAAATTATTATGTGAGTCACATCTACACGCAAAATATTATCATCATTAAAAATTTTATGCGCCTTGTAAAAAATTTTTTTAACTAAATTTTAATGACAAGTCAACATTAGAACATATGAATGCAATGAATACGATAAACAGTTCGTAAGAATTAAACAATATTCTGCTACATGTCTGTTCATTATTTATCGATTATATTTATTCTAATAGCAGATGCAAGTCGATAAATTTTCAGAAATTTTTAAGAGTTACAATATATGAACAACTTTTTCAATTCTTCAACTTTCTTTTGTTTGAAGGTCTACCTTTTGTACTTTGTACAAAATGTGTACTGTGTACACATTTTACACGTATCTATCTGCTTCAGTTTGAATGTTACTTTGTCATAATTTTAAGTGTTATATTTATCTTTCATTTGTTACTTGAAACTTTTTATATAAATAGTGAAATTGCCCATCTTTGTTTAAAATTACAACTTCTTTACGTTAACACATTGCGTATCGTTGTTGATGTGAGACGTTAATCGACGGCTTTCACTTCAGAGGCATTAATGACCGAATGTATTAATCACAAATATAAATAATAATGAATGAAGTAAGTAAGAAAAGCGTTTAAAGTTATTATTTCATCACTAAACATTAATAAATGATCTCATTCATTAACACGTCGCGTACCGGCTAATTTTCAGAAAATTGAATTGTGCGGATGGCGATTTTCAGTGAGATCAACTTATATCACTATATATAGAAAACTTCAAAAATTATATTCTTATATAATATATTTTAAATATATAATCAGTTCGAATCAAATTTAATATTTTTTTAAATGCTGTAGTAATTAGCAAAGTTACATTGCTAAGTGTCTTTTTATAAAAACGAGA